GTCTCACAGAGTGTTTATTCAGTTTTCATAAAGATGGATTGAACTGTGTTGCCAATTTGAATATAAAATACTGATGCTTCGACTTGACTTCACTGTGAGACCCATGAGTCTCTCTACACCTACTTTGGATTTTTATGGATATGGAGTGTAGTGGCTACCCCTGGGACTGGGAGAGAGAGCGATTTATACACACATTCATCATACAGCTGGAAACCGTATGGATTATTAAAATCGCAAAATATGCTTTTTTTTTAATTTATCCTTGTGGTAGTTTTTTGAGGATTGCTTGATAGCTAATATAGTACCCTTAGTGTAGAGGAACAAGTGCAAAGATGGATTTCGGCATCTTTGTAGGCTTCCAAAGGGTTAATGAGAAGAAAAAAAAAATTTATCTGCTCCAAAACAGCAGTGAATTAGTATGTAAAATGAAAGATCCAGGAAGCAGTTTCTGCATTAGACTAAAGTACGGGGTCCTGCTTCCCGCACCCATCTCCGCTTATAATTTTACTTTAATTAATTCATGATTCACAATCCAATCTGTTTGCTGGGATATTTGGGTCTCCAGTTTGCATGCAACGTTCATTTACAGCCACCCAGTGAAATATTGTTATCTGCTGCTCGTGTGAGACTGTGCAGGACTTATACCGGATCTCTGCATCCTCCTCACACATGGCCAGGAATCTCTGAATGGATATATATGTGTCTGTAGGTTATAGCTGGCTACACACTGTAAATGACATACATTCATTACACACAAACACAGAAAGACCCGAAGGGTTTGTCTTCAATCAGGTTTAAAATTCTTCACTGTTTGTGTGCTGGAGATTTCACCATCCCTGTGTCTGTTTGATGTCCAGAATTAGATGTAAAGTATACAACAATTGTGCTAAAACATAACGCCAACCAAATGTCTCATCTACAATGTATTGAAGTAATGTTTTCAAATAAGGTAATAGTCAGCATGGGCTCAATGGCAGGAGATGCTTTGATCAAATCAAAAGAAACACATTTCCAAAACAGTATTTCCTTCTTATCATCCCGAATGTTTGTGTCCACAAATGTAACCTATGTTACAGTGAACAGAAAGCTTTGAACTACTTTTTTTTCAATGCATTTAATTGTATTGTGGTACAACATGTTGCAATGCAATTCTCACCGGCAGGGCAGCCATCAGAAATTTTGGGGCCTCTTACACGGCTTTAGGCTGGGTCCCAAGGCCCCCCCCCCCCCACCCCACACCGCTGCCACACTGAGCAAGTCACACTGTTATTATTATACATTAATATAGCTTTGATATATACCGCAGTGCTATACAGAGAACACTGAGCCAGTCACATCAGTCTCTGTACCGAGGAGCTTACACTCTAATGTAAACTTCCTGTAATAAATACCAGCCTCTGCTGCTCTCTCCCCTTTTGCAGGGTGAGTGGTTTTGAACCCGCCCCCTCTGGCAGTTGTCAACAGCCTGTAGCGAGTGGAGCCTGCTGGGTGCCTCTCTGCACAGAATATGTACAGCACAGTGATGATGTCACTGCTACTTTCACAAGGCAATATTTAGGTTTTTAAGTATTTGGTGCACACAAAGTGAATGTAAATCCTTTTGTGTTTATTCATTTACATTGATTATATTTAAATGAAAGTTTTTGTGTCTGCTGTTTGCTTTAAGAAGAATACTGGTTGCCTGGCTGTCTATAACGTCAGTACTTTCTGAGTCACTGTCCAATGAAAAGCATGTAGTTTAGAAGGACAGAGTAAAAACAGAGATCCTGGTCTGCATCCTTGTTCCAAACAAGTGCCTTGGGCATTATCGAAAGATGAAAAAGGCAGCATTGGCAGCTTCCATATTTTCTCACTATACTTTTCCTTTAACAAAGCATATTTACAGTTCATGTAAAATTCTGCAAAACATAATGCTGTGTTAAATAGTTTAAAAATAAGTTTACTGATACTGAACAATACTACCTATAAACCCTTTTACTCTGTGAACTGCATGATAAGTGAAGAGCACTGCAAAAAAAGGCTTTCCTCAGCATTAGAGTTCATGGAATATTACAGGCTTCATGGTTTCCCTTTAAAATACAGATCTACATCACTTCATATTCACTTACTTGGGGGTATGAGACTCATCCACACGATGTCCAACTTGGAACTCATGAGACTTGCTTCGATGCAGCGAGGTGAATCCTGGTATAAGGTGAATGAGTTTCCGTGATGAAGGTGGAGGGGTGCCAGGTGGTTTCAACTTGTTCCTCCGCCGTACAGGGGGGGTGCCAGGAGGGGTCATAGTAGTGACTATGTTAGGTGTCCGTGGTGGGTTGGTGTGTGCTGTATGGCGTTGGCGGGGTGATGGTGGTAATGAACGATGCCCAGTCTCTGATGACTGGCAAGAGCCTGAATATGCTTCAACAGTCAACCTGTCTACATTAGTGTACATAGATCCATAAGCTACAGGCAAATGGCAGTAGTGCTGGATGCATTTGGACTGTAGTTTGGGACTCTGCGAAAGGTGCGTTCGAATCCACTGGGCTGTCTCTTGCTGGGTGACAGGACTATTTTCTTTCCCCGTCTCTGTAGCTGGCCACTGAATGGCCCAGTCTTGCTTAGACAGGCTGCTTCCTATAAGTAAAACAGAAAAATATAAAGACAACAGGAATATATTTGCATTAGAATTGAAAATGTATCTATTTAAAGCAAAATTGTCCTTTTAAAACCTATAAATTTGAATATATCCAGGGATATCTAAGTAATCTCTTACCTCTGACCTTTCTTTCCGTATGCCCTCATAGCTGTGATCACAGGTCAAGGCCAGTGTAAACATTGCTCTACTTACATTCAGCTTGTCTGTAGCTTGCACTGTAACTCTGCAGGTAAGTAGTCTTATATCCAATCTGTACTGCCAGGAGCCATACATCATCATTTCTATGCTGCAATGTATTCATGCAGTCAGCTGGGATCACATATCCCTAGAAGAAGGCAGCTCCCGCATAACTTAACTAAGTTCTACCTGCATTATATGTGGTTTCAGACAGCCATCTGTAGAGAGCAGAATGTTATCTAGAGGGTTTTCGGTTGCCCATGCTTCTCAGTCCTAGTCTAATGGGTGCTAGAAATGGGTGCTGTCTACACTGTAGGGGCTGGCAGTTTCTAGCAGATTGTGATCTCCAGTTATTGCAGGAGTGCATTGCAGCTTATAAATCATGTACATTATAGCTTCTATAATTCAAGATGTTAAATCCAACCGGTGCTGTATGTAAAGCTGATTTCTGGTTCTCTCTTCTTGCCTGCAGTTACAGTGCAGGATGCAGATAAACTGAATGTAAAGTGCACAGTGTATTACACTGGCCTGTTCTCAAACCACATGGAAAGAAAAGGCAAAAGTAGGTGGTTATATTTAAAAAAGTTCCTTGGTATCCATAGGCAAACTGAAAGAGATTCTTCTTTAAAAGTACAGTTATCCTGTTACTGGTACTATAGAGCCCTAATGTATCTTCAATTAGATCTCTAGGGTATATACCACCTAAAGAAGCAGACAATAGTATGGTATAAGTTATTTTTGGCACTCTTGAACTAAGAATAGCAGCAACATAATTAACAGATGATAATGAAAGACAGACCTCAGCCATACCTGCCTGTTACATGATTTGTTCTAGTGGGGCACTGTAGTATGATATTCTTTGTACACAAATAGTTATGACAGGATCATTGTGTAGACAGCCATTCTGATTATTCTCCACACAAAAGACGAGAATGTCAGCAACGTCAACAATAATTTACCTAGAAAGCATCATCTTGCAGCAAGCTTACTATGCATCCGATATTCAGTTTAACCATCTATTATAAAGAGAATGCCTTTAAATGCCTTGACTTAAGTGATTTTCTGAACACCAGCAATCTACTTCTATTAGGTCTCACAGAATTAAGGGAATTTCCTGGAGAAAGTAGGAATATTTTTTTATTGGTGCGGTCAATTACAAACTCTTGTAGCAGTTCTGCATACAGAGCAGCCCTTATCTAACTATTATTGCAGATACATAAACCTGATCCATGTATAAAGGCCCTCCAAAAACTACATGTCATTAAAATTACTAATCAGCAGTCAACTGATAAAAGGTTATGACTTTGTTCTGTGTTTAGCTAATAGAGATATAGGGGTAACAGCTTCGGGTAGCCTATATTTAATAATCAAAGAAATCCAAACCTATATAAAAAAACGGAATATACAAAACAATTGTATTAGTATTTCCAGTAGAAAACTTATTTAAAATACATACACCCCTCTATTCTCTGGCAATTCTAATAATATGTTTTGTATATTCCTTTTTTTGATTTATGTTTGAATTCCTTTAATGAATTAATATAGGATACCTGAAGATTTGACCCCTATATCTCTATTAGCTAAGTGTTTTTGAAGTCAGGGTGTATCTATAGTTTGTAGTTGATTACAGATGGTACTGCCTAATGATTTCCAATGTTAAAAAAATGTTTGTTTCCAGAAATACCATTAGAGAATCTCTCAGCAAAACAGAATCATTTTGTTTCAGGTAATGCTAATACATGCACAGCCATGCCAATTTTCAACAGCAATACCAAGTGGCATGTTGAGTCAGTCACCTAACTGCTAATGCTGCCCTGGGGATATTTCAGCAGTACTAAAGAAAAAAAGTCCACATTACTGGATTTACCTGTTTTATATCTATAAGCGTTCTCTGCCTCCACCTCTGTTATTAGTTACCATTGTTCTCAGCTCCCTGTATGGATGACACACCACCTCCCCCTATGTTACAGCAAAGAGAAAAGGGGGCAGTTGTTGTGTAGCTCAAGCACATTTCCTGTCCCCGGGTGACAACATCGTTCCTCCATAGAGTATGGTAAGTGTCGCCCTAGGACAGAAAGTGGCTGATTTATAATTACTGCACATAGCTGAGCAAACAACATATGCAATGCATTACTGCCACTAGATAGAGCCAAGGAGCACAGTCTCCATCTAGTGGTAGTAATGCGCTGCAAATGTTGTTCATTGAGCTATACACAGGGGCCATGCTATAAATCAGCCCCAAAGCTGGTTGTTGGCAGTATCACCAAGTCAATATAAAGGGAAAAAGCCTAGAAAAAAAAAAGAAATACAGACATTACATCTAAGCACTGGTAAACTGCAACATAATGCATGTATGTTCTTGGTTTAAAATGCCTTTTAATCTGAGTTTTATGTGATGCACTTCCTTTGGTAATGTTATTGGATGAGACTGCATTATCTTGCTCTGGATGCAAAGAGACTACACTGGGTGGTTTTGAGAATAGCTCATGGCTTAGTAAGTGGGGTCCCCAGAACATCAGGCAACTACAGCTATGACTGGATGAACAGAATATACCCTATGGAGGAACAATGTTCCCCTTTATGTACTTTATGTACTCTGTTTTTAGTCTTGACTAGGGTATATGTATTTGGATTGTGATTCTCATAAAAGAAAAGGATAATATTCTCTATTAGTGGACCCTGAGACAAGATAAACTAGTAATAGCTACTTTGAAAACAATAGGGATGAACTATTGATTTTTTACAAATCTTATCCAAAGGCATTTTGCAGAAGACTTATCACCTTGTGCTTTTATTTTGTGTGCTGAGGGACAGTCCACAAGCCGGAGCAGAGCAAAGGGAAGGAGAGAATAAGGGCTTGTCCACACCAAGAGCGGAGCAGATTCAGAGCAGAGCAGGTGCAGACCGGATCAAAACTGCGTCCAATGTATTCCTATGGTATTTTGAGCTCCAGTTCACATCGCATCCTGCAGATCCAGAGCAGGTGAAAAAACTGCAGCAAGCCCTATTTTACCTGCTCTGGAACGCATCAAAAACGCATGCAAGTGCCTGAACTCATTGAAAGCCCATGTTAAACTTCAAAAATATATTTATTTATTTTTAACCAAAAATGGCCCAGAACGCATCAAAAACGCGTCAAAAACGCGGCACAACCCACTGCACTGCGTGTGCAGAAACCTGACCGGATCTGCTCTGCATTTGGTGTGAACAAGGCCTAAGAGCGCCAACTGCTGGGGGAGCGGGCATCGGGTAAGTAAAATTCCTTTACACGAATCCCTTAGACATTTACAAGCGATTTACCCTTGCAGTTGGGGTGGGTTAACCCCATTGAAATGGGAGTTTTTTCTTGGCGATAGACTTTAAGCAATTGTCCTTTTTTTGGACAATAGCTAATTTATTGGAACATTGTACATTTTAGAACAGTGTAGTCCCATCCCTTGCCTGTCTATGTGTCTGTGATCCAGACCATACTGGGATATAGTGCTACCCTAGGCACACCCCAATGATGACACTCTTTTGTACAAGCTCTGCCCAATGTCATTTGATGACTTTAGTAATTCCCAATGATAGAATGTTCTTTTTGACGCAGCAAGAGGCCCGCTTTCTATGCAGAGCCACAGACCACCTAGTAAGAAAAAGCAGATATACTTTTATGTCTCCAGGACTATGAAGAAGAATGTGCTTCCTCTTAGCATCTCCTTCCCCCCCTCATTTTTCATTTCTCTTAGTGAATGTAACCCCAAATGCCCAGCAATGTTCAGAAGAAGAAAAAAGAAAGTTACCATGATTTTTATAATGTGAGTTTTGTTGCTATCCCCTCTAACCCTTCTGCCCTGGGCTCTGGCCCACCAGTGCCGTTATGGGAAACACATTCCTGTCTGTGACTGTCCTGCATACAGTATGTTGGGGCAGCTACATAGACGGTAACTTAATGACATACCTGCACTTCTGATAAGATATTTATAAGACGTATTACCTACAAAGCTTTCATTTAATGTCTCTGCATGGGCTATAAAGATTTTATGGCTAGGAATTTATTAAGTGTTACATATTGCATTATGCCCTATGGATAGTCTGCCTTGGCAGAGCCCTTTCCATAGGGAATCTTTATTGCCACTTTGGAAGTGCAGAGCATTTTAACCACAATTGGATACACTTCAATGCAGAGAAAATGACAGCACGCATCTGTCTCCCAGTTGTAAAAGTTATTTTAGAAAAAAGAAGAGAATTGCCATTTAAAATGTATGGAACAAGAACATTGTTTTTCTATTGTGAATATGTTATTTTTACATTGTGTAGGTTACAGGGAATGCATTGACACTGCCTGATCATTCTCAAAGGGGTATTGAACAATCAAGGTCATAATATGCATCTATAAGGTGGTAATCTCTTTTCACTGCGACCAATATATTCTATTTGGATAGCGTACAATAGGGATGTGTAGTACGTGAGTCAACAATAATGCAAACATTTTATATTAAAATTCTCTGGATATTTATTTCATCTGTGATGTAAAAAGTTTAAAAACTGAGCCTAAGGTGGGTGCACATAGCGACCCATACATTATGCAGTGGTATGTACCTGTGACAAATCAGGGCTAGTAGCATATCTCTAGTGCAGAGCAGCAAACACTTCCTGCCACCTATCTGCTCCTCAGTGAGTGAAAATAGATGTACTATAGGAAATGAACAAAAGCATATATACTGTATATATATATATATGCCATCATGGTAGGCTTGCATGGCAGGCTCACTTAACTGCCGTGCACATAGTGATCGCAATTTCAGAACCTATCAAGACA